CATTATACTAATATGGTAGTACAATTTTACATAGTAGTTAAAAATGGGATCCTTGATTTTGATTCTTCAAATCGAAATAATTGAGATAGAAATTGCAATAATTTTACAGATAGAATAAGTAATTTGTCATAAGAGCTTTAAGCAATAATCTTTCAAAATGTCACTTTTAGGTGGAGTTCTACAATCGGATTAACCAGTAGTGATATGGCATTAAGTTTATATTTATGATTATAATGATTCCTATGTCTGTTATCGTTAGTTAGCTTTATTTCTTGTTGATTATCTTAGAGTGGTTTTGAAACCATGATTTGCGAATATTTAAGTCATTGGAATACATAAATCAAACTACAAATTAAGTTGGGTTAAGACGGCTAAATGCGTGTTATAATAACAAACAAGTATCAAAATATTCGTCATCTTGTTGCATATTGTTTCGTTTTCTTTACGGTTACACTTTAAAATAGTGTTCCTGTCGTAAAATAAATTTGTTTTGGTTTCAAATCTTTGATAGCCACTGTTCGATTTATTCAAAATTCGTCTAGGAGGGTGGTAAAGGGTTATTTTCGTGCAACGTGATCGCCGTTTTTTATTTCACGTTCAACGTGTTTTTACTTATTTATTTAACGTTCAGTCGTGCAAGACAGGTGCCTCGTTCAACGTGTTCTGCTTATTTAATTTTACGTGCATCGTGATTTTCAAATGCTTATTTTGCGTGCTCGGTATTTTTCAAATAAAATTCAAATACTTGGCAGGGATCGTCAAGAAATACTTTTTTAAAACCCGTAAACCATTTACATCATAAATGTGTATGCTAAATCGGGAATAACAAGTAAAACAGAGAGTTTATATATACAAGAAGACAGTGACTCAGCCTCACAAAAGGTTCACAACAGTCTTTATTTTTCGTGCAACGTTCATGACAGAAATTATTTCACGTTCAACGTGAAATTATATCTTATTTCACGTTTTTTCCGTGCAAGCACCCCCCCCCCCCCCCCCCCCCCCCCTTTACCACCCTCGTCTAGTCTTGTTTGGATAAAATTATTGACATATTGAATACATAAATGCATTCAATTGAAAACGCGTTAGGATGATCTGTTTATATGTTTTCTCTATCATGTTGCTAGGTTTCTGTCTTTTTGTCGCCTGTCCCCTTTCATCCATATGGATTATGTATTGTAATTTTATCGTTGCATAAGGTTTTCCATTTAATTCGATTCAGAAGCAATTTCCGGTGTACAAGGAAGAACAATTGAGCTTATGTCACATTTTAATGTCATTATGTTGAAAAAATGTCAAATTTCAATTCGAATTTTAGTCATTGAAAATTGCGTTTTGATTTTATTTGAAACTAATATCATAACATGAGACTATAATAGGAGCAAATGAAATATAAAGTTACTCTGCTGTTTCCTGATGTAAGATATGTTCATACCGTATCATTTAAACGTATCGATTCACAAAATGTGATTTACAAAGATCTGTATTTCCGACTTGATCCCTGGTGTGTTAGTTTAAATCATATCATATAATGCTGTTTAATTACTACCAGTATTGTTAAAAAGTAATTCTATTACAAATATATCCGAACAAAATAGGAAGTCATTATATCATATTACATTTTCGGGTAATAGGGTAACACTTTACTGAAATCCATTGAACAATAGATCCATTTATTAAGTAATGGTCGATTTACTCAAATTCTGAAAAAAAAATAATTATTTCGAATTGCATTTAATTGTATTTGAAATGGATAGTTTGATAAATGCATTCTGTAATTTGAAATTTGAATAATTCTTTATGATTTGTTTAAATTATATAAATTATTGGTATTGAAATCCATCATGTATTCAATGTCTTGCAATTCTTGGTATTGGATTAAGTTGTCTTATGTAATGTATCCGTTTTTATTCTGTAGTTAGTTCCCACTTTGGTTTTATCATGTATGTCTATTATATAGTCATTTTATAATATTTACTGTTTGCAAAATTATAAATTATTCTAAATAATAAGGATGTTCTTGTCCCAGGCAGAAAATCCTGGCCGTGTTAGGGGCAACTTTTTGGAAGTTTTTGTCCTCGGTGCTCTTCAGCTTTGTACTTGTTTTGGCTTTCAAACTTTTTTTATCTGAGCGTCACTGGTTAGTCTTGTGTGGACGAGACGCACGTCTGGCGTATTGAATTTTAAGCCCAGTACCTTCTGCTAGCTATTATTCGTGTGGTTCTTTGTCCTATATGTTCTCCCATTTATTTGTATTGTGGTCCTGTCATGTGATGTTGTCGTTTTGGTGTTGTGTTTGACGTTGCCATAAAAGCGGGAGGTTTGGCATGCCACAAAACCAGGTTCAACCCACCATTTTTTTCTTAAAATGTCCTGTACCAAGTCAGGAAAATGGCCATTGTTATATTATAGTTTGTTTCTGTGTGTGTTACATTTTAATGTTGAGTTTTTGATTTGTCGTTGTTCTCCTCTTATATTTGATGCGTTTCCCTTAGTTTTAGTTTGTAACCCGGATTTGTTTTTATCTTTATCGATTTATGAGTTTCGAACAGCGGTATACTACTGTTGCCTTTATTTGCATATTCATAAAAATAATACGTGACTAAAACCTATTATTAAATAATTCAGGTCTTGAGATATTCAATTCGATGAATGCAAAACTATGTATTAAACCTCTCTTTGGCAATATCTCAACAGTTATTTACATAAACAATTATTCTGGTCGCAGGACAATTCCTCCTCATGTATGTCATAGACCCATATGTTTTAAAGGCAAATTATATAACGTTTAACCACATTAAAACCAATAGGGTGAAAACAGAACGACCGCACCTTCTAATGTCAACTTTGCTTTACAAAAGTATGATTTAAACCATTTTCCTCTTAAATTTGTCAATTACAAGACATTGGCATCAATGCTGATTGTATCCTCGATGGCTGATATTGATGGTATTTATATACATCTCTAACAGCCTGTATGTTTATTGAAAAGATTTATTGATCATGAAATAATCATAACAAACATAAATGTGTGTCCTATTCTCGATTGTGGTGCATGGCGGGTATGCACGCATAACAGGAGACGTTTACCCTATCGACGCACCGTTCCTGCTCCTTTTGGGTTTTATGCTGTCTCCTCAGATTGATTTGTTATTTTGGTTTGTTTTATGATTGATTTACGAGCTTTAAATATCGGTAAACTTATTTCGCCTTAATCTACAATCGCTTATCGAACCAAAATATCGTCACTAGTATACACATTCTGACAAACCAATGACAGCGAGGTTATAAGGATCAAAATCACTGGAAAGACTTTTGTGCAAAGTTCTAGGCTATTCTTCAGTCTTCTTTTGAAACATGGAGGAGACAAAAACATATAGTTGCATATTCAGAAAGCATTTTTAAGTCAATTGAATGACCTAAATGTGTTCCAATGTATTCAGTCTCTTAATTTTTAAACAATTTATTCTCCTATCTAAATTTCATTTTAATCAAATCCTATTCACAATTAAAATTTTACAGTCAGCATTCCTTCAAAGACAAGAAATTACAAAATTAAGATTGTATTAAAAGCGCGGATTAAATTTATCTGTGTAGTTCCAGTATTGAGTTTATCTAAATGAATGTGAAGTGTTGCATAACTTTCCTGTAATTAGAAGCATTGATTTCTTTTCAGTTTCCATGAATCAAATCAAATAAATCTGCATTTTTTTAAATTATATTCCAGGTGTCTTATAATGACTGACATGCATTTAAGTTGAATTTAATCATTGGCTTTCTTAGTTTTCAATTTGTTACTTTTACATGACTATGTGTCCCAACTTCAATTCCGAGATTTTTGGTAACAAATTAAACCAAGACGAAAATTATTATTATCGTATATTACTGCAATGTAACATTTTGTTCATTAAGCAAATGTTTACGATTTCCGTTATGTTCGTATATATCTTTCGTGTCTCTATCAAACATCTCACATACAGTTGAGGTCAAGAGTAGTGTATCGAGTTGTGTAATTAGTGTTAATTACAGGGAAATAATTAATTAGACCAAGATGTTGTGTTATCTAAACCGGTTAACATTGATATACATCTGTTAAGTGCCATAAACAAGTAATATCATTGTAATTTTAATATAAATATATATCAGAGCTGTTAAACTAAATTATTTCAAAAGTTTGGTAGTTTGGTCAATAAAGATTGTAATGAAACTGGAATGTCAAGTTTAACCTCGGCTGTTGTCTTTCGCTGAATGTTGATAAGGACAATTGTATTGTATAAATACACTTATCAAATAAAAACAATTGACAAAAAGACGAAAGATACCAATAGGGGTGTCAAAACTCACAATTCGAAGAGAGATTGGTAAACTTGCAATCAATTTAACAAAACTAATGACATTCATACGTAATAATATAACAGTTTTTGCTATATTACCCGATTTTTTCACAGTTCATTTATGCATTTTTACAAAGATATGGAATATAATTGGAACTATATTTCACTGTAAGAAGAATAAATGTCGAAGGTGGTACATCTTAATTTCTGAGATAACGCCACAGCCAGAGGACAAAATTGGAACAAGTCAAAGTCTAATCTTTCCTAAATACGCGCGGAACAAATATGATATCAAAACATTTTAGAAAAAGAATCAATAAAATGATAAAGCTACCGTTAGGACACTCGTGTGAGGTAATTTATCATCTGCGATATAATTAACTGTGCCATTTCACCAAGACTTGTATCTATTCAGTTTTATTGATAACGTTTGTCTGGAGGTAAACTCTGCTTATCTTCACAACCATTTTCATTATCATCGATTCCTGGTACATGTGTATCATCTTCCATTTATTTCTTATTTATCAGTTCCGTTACATAATGGGTAAAGCATTACGGTAGATATGCAAAAGTTAATTGATATTCCATGTTAATACAAGGTTCATGTTCAGCTTGCTTTTGTATTTTATTAACTTGCTATTTGATAGTAATGATGATTGGTGGTGCTTCTATACATTTATATAATACGAAGGTTGATTATGTCGCGTAACAAATATATACAAGTATCTTGGAATGCTATTAATGGAATCGCAATCAATCGTGTTTCTTTGCATTGCAATGTACTCTAGTTATTGTATTGTGCATCAAAATAAGATTTACACGGAATAGACCATAACTATCATAAGTTATTTCATTCATCTGTTGTATTCTGATGGTAAAACTTCTGCATATAATGTAAAATTGTATGCCTGAGGTAAGCAGTCTATATATTATATTTCATATATTACTTGTATATGCGGTCGTTTTCCTGATTATTATTATTAATGTTAGAAGTTTTATTATCATAATTATTTTTATAATTATTATTATTATTATCATTATTATTATAATTATTATTGTAACAATTTTGACTTTTAAAAAGACTGTCAGAAACAGTAACCTTCCTTAATAGGACATTTTTGAAAATTGTAATATGTATTAATTCCCTAAAAGTGAAAACGGCATGGGTTAATTCTATCTTCTTTTTAATTAAATGAAGCCAGCTATTTTTGTATATATTTTTGGTTGTTTCAAACTGTTCTTCTCCCTTAGATTTTTTTGTATTTCCTGTTATCCTTATTAAATATTTATTATACCAACGAAAGAACAGGAAATCAAAACACGATGCACAGTTTTAGAAGATTTCCTGAAATACTAAAATATAAGGCCATCAACTACGGTTTTCAAACCAATTATCCTTTTTTTACGAATAACCACTGCATTTGTTCCTGAAAGAACGCATAATTTCTTTCTTAACTGATGAAACAAATTTTATTAAATCCTGACATTTGTCATGTTTGTTGCCGGACGACTCAAGACATTTTACTTCTAAGAATAACCTAGGGTTAAAAAGGATATATTCTAAATACCAAACGAAAAAGGATTAGATAGCTAGAAAACAAACAAAACTGTATTATTTCAGCTTTGATGTTTAGTAAAAGAATATTCAGCATCGAGTAACAGTATTTGCCTAGTTAACAAAGCAGTGAATGTTCAATGTATACTACTGTTATGATTTTTCTTCAAGTTATTTGAAAGTTTCTCACAAATGATTTTAACAAAACTTTTAAAAATATGTGACTTTGACATACAAAACGTTTACTGGAAATTTAATTTGCTTTTTGACTGTTTCGTGCGCGACCGATCAGTTTTATATTGTTGAAAATCGCGTCTTGCGTATCATACACGAAATTAAAGTGTTATTTTCATTTAATGGCACTGCGTCGATACCACTGTTGGTGAAATGTTAGTCCTCCAGGAAAATAACCAACCAGAAGTCAGCTGCAGTTTATCAGTACTTGATTTTTTACAAACACTGTTAATGAATAAAGTCATTATATAACAAGGTTCCAACTCCCTCGGGCAAAAATCACTTCAGAAGAATGTGGCTCGTTTAAGGAACAGGTTAATACAAAGAGCAAAGGGTTCTGACCTAATAAACTATTAAAATTCACTTTCATTTATATAATAAGTCTAGTATCGGTGTTGACCCTTTTCATCCACTTGGTCGATGTAATTGCTGATGGACATTTCGTCCGTAGAGAGTATATCACCAGCCAAGTATTTTGCATGGTCATTTTTGTTAAATTAAATATTCAAAAAATGCTTGAATAATTTGAAACAGTATTTCAATTCCCAGACATAGATTGCCAAGATATTTTGGGGGTATTTTGTGGTTTTTTCTATGATCCCCAACTTCTTCATTAATTTAGCAGTCCACCTGTTTAGAATCGAGCCCCTCTAATATGTATTATGTAGTTGAAACGCGCGTCTGACGTACTAAAAAGTAAAATAACAATAATACCGAACTCCAAGGAAAATTCAAAACGGAAAGTCCCTCTCGGTAGGAAAACTCAAAAGCTCAAACACATCAAACGAAGGCAAAACAACTGTCATATTCCTGACTTGGTGAGGCATTTTCTTATGAAGAAAATGGTGGATTAAACCTGGTTTTACAGCTAGCCACGTCTATGACAGTCGAACAAAATTCCATTATATTGACCATGTGTGAACAAAACAGGTATAAACCTGGTCTTTGATGAGTTCTACAACCCAAAGTGGCATTGGAAGCCATTGATAAAAGCAAATTCAATTTAGATTTAGAATCATCTATTTAGCATATTTCGTTTATCAACTACATAATGGCTAATACATTGTTGTTGATTTGTCATACATTGTGAATACAATGGTCATGGTTCATTGAGCAAAATCAAATTCTAATTTTTAGATGCTTCGTAGTTATTGAACAGAATACGAAGATGATATTTTTGGTCATATTATACCTTGACACAGATTAATAATACATTGATTCATTTTGTAGCATTAAAATGTATAGGATCAGGAATAAAATATATATCCTTAGATATGTAAATCAACGGTATGACATTGTATTATTCCATTAGTATACTCCATATTACAATACGTTATACACAGAATAGACGTTTTTCACGGAAATGTGTCTAATATTATTTTAATCATTTGCTTCACTGAAAATAAGATATGTTTTGTTTAGAAACGATTTTAAATATATGAATAATCATTGATACGATCATTTTTTATGAATTTTCTGTTGATGAATTGTAGAATTATTCGAAACACTAAGACTAGACACAGATGCCCTCATAGCCAGATTTGGCACAATTTATTTATTTTTTTATTTTTTTGTTTTGTTTTAAATGGCTTTCAATGCTGTTCAAGTTAGAAATTAAATTGGATTTCCAATTGCTTTGATTCTCGTGAAAATAATAATTAGTGTGTAGAAGTAACGCTCGTCTAGCGTTTTCAATATAAGCCTGGTATGTTTGGGGATATTTTATACATAATGTAAGCAGTATTTTCAGTGAGTTTTAATTTTCTAATAGTTTTACATTTAATGACTAGTTTTGCATTCTCCGTGTAAACAGATTATAGTTTATTACAAATACGTTTATAGAAATTTATTATGTAAGAATGATTCAATCTTCCGGAATATTTTTTTTTTCCCTAAACAAATGTGTACGGTAACAAAATATATAAAGCTATCTTCACAGTACCCAAAATGCACCGAGTACCCAAATTACAACTTTTGCCAAAAAGCAGTAAAATCTTACAGGTTTTCTTGGAGACCAAAAAATCGTATCTTTGTAATTTTCCATTATATGCACGTCTTTCAATATAGATAAAATATCTAAATGTACAGAAAATGGTCATATTAGTATATATATTTGTTTAGGGGCCAGCTGAAGGACGCCTCCGGGTGCGGGAATTTCTCGCTGCATTGAAGACCTGTTGGTGGCCTTCTGCTGTTGTCTGTTCTGTGGTCGGGTTGTTGTCTCTTTGACACATTCCCCATTTCCATTCTCAATTTTATATTATATATCAGCAGATGATGTATCCAGTGTAAAGAAATGTCAAATCTATGGAAACGTCGAATGCGACGTCCACAAAAAAATCAATAAATGAGCAATTAGAATATGTAACAGGCGTGCAGTTCTTACAAAATGCATAGTAAGCATGGACATGGTAATATCGTTCTAAAATGGATAGAAATAATACAAAATACCAGTTACTCGATTTTCACGGATGTGAAGATAAGTAACTATGTATACAATTTGGGTACTCCTCATTGCAGAGTGTTGTGTCGTTTAAAGGTCGGTTTATACCGATTTTTCTATGATTCAGTATGGATTCAAAATTGAATTTGTGGAACTACATGTATTTAGTAAACAAGGATACATTTACAAAATAAACGCAGAATAGAAACTTTTATCTGTTTCTTAAATAAACGTATGTGAAAAAACTGTCAAAATAGGTGCAATGTTGGTACCCGCAAGTTAACACGGTAGGGAATTGTCTGAAATATTATCAAACAGATAAAATCGAATAACTGAGGCGTCTGGAGAAGAAACATAAGTTAATATGACTTCATTATCGGACATAAATGTAATTTAATACATTAAATTTTGAAATAAAAGATGACCTATATTTCACAATGAATTACATTTTAACGCAGATGTTTCTGATAATCGTGAGAAATCTTAAACAGTTCATTTACTTTTCTAAACATTTTTTCACTTTCGTTTTTCATTACGTTATTCACAACCCCGTCCTCTTTTTCTAGAATGTGACCTACTGCATTAAAAATTTCACCGGTTTTGTACTGACACGCAACACAACAGGTGGTACATGTGGAGTAGGATCTGCTTATCCTTCCGAAGTACCTGAAATCACCCACGGTTTTTGGTAGGGTTCGCGTTGCTCAGTCTTTCGTTTTCTATCTTGTGTTTTGTGTACTGTTGTTTGTCTTTACGTCAATTTATGTTTTCGTTTTTTGCCATAACATTATCTTTTCAGTTTGTTATTGACTTATGAGTTTGAATATACCTTTGGTATTGTTCGCCTCTCTATCTGATGTTGGTACGTTTATCACTGAAGTATGGTCACGCCTTCGGGTCAGAACAGTGTAGTAATACATGAATGGGTGTAGTACTAACACAATGCGCCTGTCGGTTTCTTTCTACACATGTAAATTATGGAGCCTGGTATTTAAGGGGATAGCGCTAAGTTGCGTAATGCATAAGTGTGAAGCAAGGATGAAATCTTTACCTTGTCTTTTCATCAAAATTAGTGTACAGTTTGTTTAGGCATAACTCAAGAGTGTGTCTTCCTACACTATTTTTGCCGTTGATGTATGAAATCTATGAAATACAGAAACAATTCTAGATATTCAACGGCATAATGTTATGTCAACTTCCATCCGTCCTTTTTTAAGTTTTTGTTTTGCTGTCTCACTGACGTAAACACACATCTTTGGAGCTGTTAATTCATAATTCAAAGACAAGTGTTCAGGCGAAATTGTATTATAAAAGTACAAAAATGCGTAGAAAAACAATCGTCCAGAGCCAAACATTATAATCATAGCTAATTATTGTATCCCGCAAGCAACATAGCTAATTATTGTATCCCGCAAGCAAAAGATGCGTAGAAAAACAAATGTATAATACCGTGTGAGTATAAACTTTAAAAAAAACTGAGTAATGAATTAATCGAAAATCGAATATAATTTAACATGTTTGGTGCAATTTGCACATGAAAATAGCATTAAATCTTTTACAAATTAAATAATATATCTATTGACATGGAAACATGATATACATCCTACACGATGAAGTGTCAGTTTGTCAAACGGAAATGCACTTGAAACGTCATTGGTTGAAATTGATACTTTGGGACAGC